TTTTATCCAGTTTTTTTCGATCCGATCCTCCACCAGCATGATCTTGATTAAATAAAAGTTTTTTTGAGAAAATATTCTGCGCTACAAAAATTAAGGTTGACCCCATCGCAAATAAAAATCCGATAAAATTCGAAGTTGAATGAGATGAACAGGCAAGCATTACTCCAATTGTTAACGGGAATAATGAAACATAGACGGATGATGAATATCTAACTCGAAATACAAAGCGATAAAGGAGAACAGTGAAGAGAGGCGATAATGCCTATTTTTAAATTTCCAAGAAAATAAATGAACAATTAACTTATCAGTTAATCAATTGGTTGAACTTGAATAGAAGTAGATCACCTTCTCATTTTCTCACCTTAATTGTATGAACAAAACTGACAGGTACATGACTTGTAGCAAAACTGGAAAAGACATGTCCAAGAATTTGAAATAAACTTAATGGTATCGTTTCCAGTAGAATAAGTTTTGTGGGACTCTTAAGTTGCGTTAAACCCATCCAATTGGCAAATACGTAACAGTAAGATAATACAAATCCGAATTGTACCCAAGTGAGTGTAATCGGATAACGAAATTGATTCAATATTTGCTTCCCACTATTATTCGTGATGGCCGATGAAGCATACCACAATAAACAATAGACTATAAATCGAATAGTGTCAACATTCACAGATCCAAATATGTAAACGAGTAAATTGGCTACTCGACCGCTAATAGTATTATTATTATTGTCAGTATGTAATCCGGGGGATGATGGTTTCGGTATCACTTTTTCTTTATAAACTTCTTCGTAGTTTTTTTGCCTCAATTTTCCCAATAAATTATTAGGCTTATATTGATAGCCGAAATTTATTGATTGAGATGTTGGTGGCATTACAGAGAATCCGTTATAGTTATTTGTCGTGTATGTACCATTATTATGTGGTTGTAATAGTGTCTGTTGTTTTAATGGAACTACATGATCAGATACTATAGATCCTCGTTTTCTTGTTGGTGGTCCTTGTCTTTGCTGATAACCCCTTATTATAAAATTTGTATCCATTCTTGGTCCATCATCTAATTTATCTATACTGGAATTTCGAGAATGTCCAATCGGTTGTTTAGGTTGTTGATCAACCAACCCATTATTGTAAAGCACATTTGGCCTTTTTTTCGATAAACTATTACGCTTTGGATATTGATGAATATTATTAATGTTACTATTATTATTATTATTACTTTTAATTTGATGATGATGATGATGATTATTATTATTATTATTATGATTATTATGATTATTGTTAATTTTGTTAAATATGGATGAGATTGTTGGTGTAGTTTCTACATCTAAGGTTGGTAAAGTTGACTCAAAGTTTTCTGGCGGGTTTGGTGGCATATTTCTATCAGAAGTAAAACGTCGTAAAAAGATGACGAATGTTCGGTCTTTAATTATTGTATTAAAAGAATTGTCTATAAACGAGATAGACAATCGATAAATCAATAGTTATCCTGTAAATATGCAGATTAAAATCTTTCTTAGCTCACCTTTAAAGAAAAATAATGTATTATGATTTTAAAATATTCTATGTATATAATTAATATATATATATATATATATATAATATATGGACTATGAACTGACTATGGGCTGGAATTCTATAAAAGCCTTATTTAAAGAATGGCGAATAAAATTTCTATAAAGAATATTGATATGCAAGTCCATGTGGCTTAAAGTCCAATAAAGTCAAATTATTAGACTACCAAAGTTGGCTAGTCCTGTGAATCATTATCAAACGTTGACGCGTGACGTAGGAATTTTAGAAAACCAACCTTGTATTTTCTTACCTCGGATACAAATATAATACATCGATTAACGTACACTAACTGTCATCTACTATAGTTAATCAATCAGATATAAAAAAAATAAAGACAAATCAAAAACAAACAAACAAATAAATATATATATTCTAAGTTTTCAAAAAGAGGATAATTAAATTTATAGAAGGCTCGAGATTTCGGAATTTCCACCCTTCTTACTAGTAGATCTGTCGTCATTCGAAGAGGAGGCTCTTCTCATCCTTTTATTACCTTGTTTGAAATCTTTTGGAATAGTAAAAGCTCTGTTATCATGAGACTCGTTTGGCCAGAGTTCACTCAAAAGGCTACGAAAAGCATCCTGCACATCTTTCTTCTATTATAATGAATATGATTATTATATTTATAATTTCTTTTTCGCATACACCTTTCAAATTCAGAAGATGCGGATGCATAATATACAGGTAAACTATTTATTACCTTTTCTTCGAATCTCGTAAAAATACGGATCTGTACTTCTTCGTATGCCGGCAGCAACGGATTCTTTTCTGTTAGGGAAAATACTGTATAGTGGAAATTATTCACGAGTTATAGAAACATCAATCATACTAATAGAATAAAAAAGATATAAACTTGAATAAAT